TAAAACTTAAAATCAATCATAGCTTAAGAGCTCGTAATGAAAATCCATCTTTAAGGACTTGGTATAAGAAGTTAATACTTTTTAGAGGCCAATGAAAAACAATTTTTATAATAATTTATATTTTGTATTTTTTTAATATGTCGTAATTTCATTATGAGTTTAATTAATGAAACATTAATTTTAATTTTTAAAATTTTTAATCGTGTAATATAGTTATTATTTTTATCGTGCGTAATATATTATGTGTAATAAATCATTTCATATTACCAAAAAGGCTACACTGCTAAAATCCGTCACTTTATGCATTAACCAAAACGTGGAACGGCTCCTCTATCTTACTCTATGCCTGTGCTACATTTTGTAACCATATTGGTAAAGTTCTCTTCCGTCACAGATGAGAACAATAGCATGGCCCATCCATTTCTTTATTATCTATGCCCGTAACCAGTATCAGTAATCAGTATGAAATCACAAAATACCGGTATTTCTATATTTTGTCTTATCAGGGTAAATCATATCGATTATATTTGAATATTTCATTAATTTATATAAATCTAAATATAACTATTGAAATAATTTATTGAAATATACCTATTAACTGTTACCATGGTTCAATAGTTTATATTCAAAAATCAAAACCCTAATAATTAAGGTTAGGTTTAAATGTTTAATTAATTAATTAAATTCAAAAATGTAAAAATTAGTTTTGACAATTTGACTTGTTTTTAGTTTACTATTATTTGTTGCTAGTTTGTTGTTTAGTTAATAGGTATATTTCAATAAATTATTTCAATAGTTTATATTCAAAAATCAAAACCCTAATAATTAAGGTTAGGTTTAAATGTTTAATTAATTAATTAAATTCAAAAATGTAAAAATTAGTTTTGACAATTTGACTTGTTTTTAGTTTACTATTATTTGTTGCTAGTTTGTTGTTTAGTTAATTGATAGTTGTTTATTCTTGTTAAGTCATTATAAATTAGTAATCGTTATGTCGGGCTCAGAAGACGATAATTCTCAAACACCACCTAAAAAAACTAAATTAATGTATAAACAGAAATATTGTGTTGAGTGGGAATCAGTTACCGTATTCAAATGATGGCTTACCATCAAGTAAAAAAGGTAATATTTAAATAATATATTTAGTAATTAATATAATGTAGCAAAATAATGATATTATTATTTTAATTATTGATCTTTTTTTTTCAGGGAACACCTTTTATCACTGTAAAGCATGCTTAGTAGATGGAGTAGCTGGTAAATCAGAGATCGGAAAGCATGCCAATGGAAAAAAACATATAAAAAATGTAGGAAAGGCTAAGAACCAGAATATAGGTCAAATGTTCACACAGAAAAGCAAATTGGAAAATGAAGTATGTTTGAAAATGAATTTTATATTTCATATAGGTACCTATACTCTTTTCAAAATAATACATTATTATTTCGAATGAATCTTATTCTGAAATCTGAATAGTCAATAGAGTATAATTTATAATAAATATTACAGATAATTATAATATAATACTCTGTTTGGGAATTGGTGGTAAACCATTTCGTGGGCACACTAAAAAAACTAATGATGTACATAAAGGACTATTTTTGGATGTTGTCAGGCTATTGCGCAAGTATGACCCACTTATTGAAAAGCATTTTGTATCCGGACCTCAAAATTCTCTTTATACAAGTAATCGAATTCAAAATGACCTTATTGAATCTATTAATCAAGTTATTAAAAGACAATTTAAAAATACAATACCAAATAAAAAAGTATCGTTGATAGCTGATGAAACGAGTGACTTGGGCCACCACGAGCAGTTATCAATTGTTATACGATATTATGATTCACAAAAAWAATGTCCATACGAACAGTTCATTTGTATGAAACGAATGACTCAAGTAAACGCTCAAAGTATATTTGATGTATTGAGCGATATTATTTGTGAGTATAACATACAGTGGGAAAATTTGGTTTCAGTTTGCTTTGATGGAGCTTCAACCATGTCCGGCAGTACTGCAGGTGTACAGACAAAATTTAAGGAAAAAAATTCAAGACTATATTTTGTACATTGCCTAAATTTAGTTCTGGTTAACTCCATTGGAAAGGATAATAGAGTTGMATTTGACTTTTTTGGATACATACAGTTGATATACACTTTTGTTGAGGATAGTTGTATGCATCATGCAGTTTTTGAAAAAATAGTTAACACTACAAATGTAAAGCTTAAAACTTTGAAGTCCATTTCAACTACCAGATGGGCATGCCGTTCTGAAGCGGTTAGTGCCATAAAGGCTAACTACTCTTCTCTTTTAATTGCAAATGATGAGATTACTGACTCGACTAATCAAGCAGATGTAAGAGCCAAGGGTTTAGGTATCTTATCGCATATGAAAAGTTTTGATTTTATATTTGCCTTGGAATTACTAGATCCAATTCTTTGTTTAGTATTAAAAACCAGTACATGTTTACAATCATCTACTATAAATTTATTGACTGCAATGCAACTTGTTGAAGAATTAAAAAATTCGTTAAATTCAATGAGAAACAATGTTTCAAATTTTGATATTATTTACAAAAATTCTGTTAGATTTTGTGATGATCAAAACATTGATATACCTGTCAAAAGACAAAGAAAAATTTCCACAAAGATAGATTGCTCAAGTCACACACAACATTACTTTACTAAAGAACAAGAAATGAGAAAAGTCTATTACAGTACATTAGACAATATGATTTCTGCTTTAAATATCAGGTTTAATCAAGAAACAATTGATATAATAAAAAGTGTTGGTATGTTATTAACCCTTCAAATTAGTAGTGATGATATTAACATATTAACAGATACATTTGATCTAGACAGTAAAGTTCTAAAAACCGAAATTGACCTACTAAAACATACTAATGGTATACTAAATRATGGACAAATAAATATTGATAAATGGATTAAATGGCTAACTGAACCTTATAGTGGAAGAGAAACTATATATTTTAATTTTTTTAAAGCTTTGCAAATATTTATGGCTATTCCAGTTACAAGTTGTACTTGCGAAAGAACATTTTCAAAACTTAGCATAGTTAAAACAAAGCTCCGCAGTACAATGAAGCAAGAACGTTTGGACGGACTTTTGACAATGTTCATCGAGCAAGAATTGGCGTACAATATCAATGTCGATGAGGTGATTGAAACATTTAAAACTTTAACTCCAATTGAAAGACGAATGGAGTTATGAACTGCAATATTTATACTATAAAATTTCATAATACCATATTATCATTAAAGATTAAAAACAGGTATTTATTTCAATTTTAAAACTGTACAATTAATATATTTCTTTTTTAATTTAAAAAAAAAAATGTATTTGTTTTTATTATATGAATTATTACATATTTAAAATATATTTTATACCCTCAATAGTAGGTGATAACGAGTAGCTCAATTAAAGTATGAAATATTTTTATTGTTTCTTCCTTCAATATTCAAGTATCTTAATCATTATTGGCTTTGGCCCACCCTGCCACAAATGTCTGCGCACGCCTATGAATTATTTTGAGTATTTTGGATTTTGGATTCATATGAGATTTAAAGCCTACAAATTATATTACTATTTTATTATTATAGGTCAAGTATGCTGAAGTGCAATTGGGATTATTCATAGCAAAACATAATCTACCATACTCAATAATGAACCACTTGCTCATAAAAATAATTTGTCAGGATTCAAACATTGCACAAAATTTAAAATGCGGGAACAATAAAAATAACAATATTATAACGGCGTTATGCAGAAAGCAACCAACCCTCAAAAACATAAATAATGAGCTTTGTATAGTACTAGATTGGAAATTTTAAATTACGCATTTTACTAATTGCAACCAACCCACAAGTTGATAGGAGCGCTATCTATCAATGTTCAAAGATTGAACTGAATGAGTTACAAAAATAATAATGCACAATACATCCATGCCACATGGTTTTGTAAATGTGGTTATACTGTGAAAACGTACTATCACACATCAATCCAAGCAGCTTGGTTGTTTTCTGTAGATTTGATAAAGATATCATTTTATTCATTTTACATCACAGATATCTGTGTAAACTAACACTCAAATTAAGTAAATGTTACTTTGGTTACCCGGAGGTAGCATACCTGGAATTCATGCTGTCGGCAGAGGGTGTGCGATCCGGCGAGCAGAAGGTCATGGCAGTTAAGGAGTTCCCAAAACCAAATAACAAACAAGAAGTGCGTCGGTTCCTCGGTTTGTGTGGGTTTTTCAGGAGATTTATTCCACGATATGCGGTGATCGCACAACCCATTAGCGATTTATTAAAAGATAACGTGTCATATGTGTGGACAGCATCACAGGATGACAATGATTCGAAGAACAAGTTGATCAGTAAGCCTGTACTTCAAATATTCAACCCAAAAGCAGAAACCGAGTTACACTGCGATGCGAGCAGTGTTGGCCTAAGCGGGATGCTGTTACAGCGGGGTGCCGATAACAAGTTACATCTAATACATGCGGTATCAAAGAGGACGACTGCAGCAGAACGAAACTATCATTCTAGCAAACAAGAATTGATGGCGGTTGTATGGAGTATGAACAGGTTGCGACCGTACCTGATCGGAATTAAATTCTTGGTGATCACAGATTGTCAGGCAATAGTTCATCTCAACACCCAGAAGACCTTGAATCCACAGATAGCACGGTGGGCGACTCTATTGAGCGAGTATGATTTTCACATAAAGCATCGCCGAGATGATGGGCTCAAGAAGATGGGTCATATTGATGCTCTTAGTCGAAGTCCTACTAGTGTGCCTCAAGATACAACGATGGAGCTACTGGATGAACATCTAGAAGTGTTTATAACGATGACGGAGGAAGAGCAGATTATATCAATGCAACGAACCGACACCAGGCTAAAGGGAATTATGGAGATCCTAGGTCGAGAACCGTCGGGACGTTTGGCAGCTGATGAAGAAATCGTTAAAGACTATCACATAAAAAAAGTGAATCCTGTATAAAAAAGTTAATATCGATGGGGAAGATAAACATTTGTTGGTAGTGCCYAATGCAATGCGCAAAAGTATAGTCATAAAATTCCATGATCTGGCAGGACACTTTGCAGTAGACCGAACGGTGAAAAAAATCAGAGAGCGGTATTATTTTCCACGGATGCGACGGTATGTACAGGTGCACATTAGATGTTGTCCCGAATGTGTATTAATCAAGATACCTCGGGGAAAGCAACCAGGAGAGCTTCACCCCATAAAACCGGGAAGGGTCCGTTTGAGGTTATAAATGTGGACCACATAGGTCCTTTTGTGAAGTCGACGAAATAGCTATATTCTAGTGTTAATAGATAACCTAACAAAGTATGTGCAGCTATATCCGGTCAAGAGTTGTGGTACAGAGGGAGTGATACATAGCCTCCAACAATGTATAGTGATATTTGGTATACCAAAGCGAATTATAAGTGACAGAGGGACAGCTTTTACGTCAAAGGCGTTCGAAGGCTTCTGTACACAACATGGCATAAGTCACATATTAAATTCAGTAAGGCATCCACAGTCTAACGGGCAAGTTGAACGCGTAAACAGCACATTGGTCCCGGTCATGCAATCAACGATGGACAATGACAGAACCTGGGACAAGTCAATCAAAGAAATAGAGTGTCATCTAAACAACGCACATAACAAAACTATAAATGATACCCCATTTCATGTGTTATATGGATATTATCCTAGTTTCAGAGATGGAGTATTACGCCATACCACGACAGCCTAAGTATGGGAATCGAGTCAGCAGATTCAAGCCACAATAAGAGAGCGCATAGACAAAGAACATCAACTGTGGAAACAGAGATATGATTCTAAACATGTTAAACCAATACAATATAAAGTGGGGGATGTGGTGTACATTCGTAGACCTGCTGAAGCCACTGGCAACTCAACCAAACTGCAAGTGAGGTATCGAGGACCATTGGTGGTCACGGAGGAACTGTCAAAGAATGTTTACAGAGTGTCTTAACTACATACAGATGATAAAAGGCGCTATGCTACTACAGTCCATGTTTCACACATTAAAGGTTACCATATTCCAGAGGATGAAGAAGAACCAGAACAAACACCTACCACAAGTCAAGAGGGGCTGAATAGTGCACACATCACTGATAGAAGACCCAAAAGGGAGAGAAGACCACCGACCACCAGGTTGGCAGGAGTCATACCAGATGTCAAAATGATGATCATGCTAAAGTAACGGCTGACAATGTAAATGTAAATGTAAATTAAAAAAAAATAAAAAATGTATCTGATTAAGTGAGGGCCCTTAATAAGTCAGGATACCCGAATGTATGACCTATATTTGTACATCTAATATATTTTATGGTCTATATTATAATTTTTTAATTTATTATCAACAGAAGTTGAGGGTTGTTCATCATTTTTTTTACA